TTGATGATGCCTGTATGAAGAGTTCCAAGTTGAGAAAACTTACCTCAAAACTGAAAATCGTGTTTTGAGTTTGAGCTTGTTTCAAGTGATGGTGATGATCAGGTTAGCTTCCTTGAGGTCCTTGGAAGCTAATGCAATGGTTAGCTTGAACAATGGATGGCTGAAATGGCCTGAAGAAGTCAAGTTGCAGACTCTATTTTTTGGTTATGGAAGTTATGGTAAATGGTGTTACAGTTTTGGAATAAGGATGGGGGTGTGTTGTATTTGATGTAAGGAAGCTTTAGAAACTAAAAGGCCAAGAAATGCACGAGGGAAATGGGAGTTTGATGTTCAAGGTCAGAAACTGTGCAACAATGGAGTTTTTGTGCAATTTATAATTTGAGAGATTAGTGTATTTCAGGGTGCTCAAGCTCGTGTCCTAGCTCATAAATAGTGACTATATTTATAAGCAACAAGTTTGGAATGCTCTAGTTGATCAGAATTCAAATTTACATGTTTATGCATAACATGTGATTTTTTGAGAAATTCAAGTTTCCATGCCTTGTGTACTTGCTAAGATAGAGTGGTTATGCTTTAAACAAGCTTGCTTCTGACTTTGTGGATGGAGTGTGATCAAAGAGAACAAGTTATAGGCTCAATGTGAACTTTATGCAAAAAGCTTGCTTTACAAGAATGGTATTGTTAACTTTGTGACATAAATGGAAATGCAACTTGGACAAAAGCTCAATTGCTTAGATCAAAGCTCTAACAGCTGTGTAAACATTTAATTATGGAGTGACAAACAAGTTTGAAGCCTTAAAAGCAAGGATTATGCAGCCTAGCATGGATTTGGTTCAAGTGTTCATCAAAAATAACTTGTAATCAAAGTGACAAAACCCTAATTTCATCTCTTTGATTCTCTCTCCTCAAGAATGATCTCAAGGAGTTCTTGGACATTTTGGAAAGCTTTCAATGTGCTCTACAACCAATTTTTAATTTCTTTTGAAGATTCCCCTTGGAACTATATGAAAAAGTTCCATGAAGTTTGGTCAAAATCCTGACCAAATTAGGGCAAAATTTCACTAAGTGTTTAGTTTCATGACCACATGTTCATAAAATTATAACTTGAGATCCAATAATTTTTGGAAGGAGTTGTGTAAATAAAAGTTGTAGATTTCATGGAGATATACAACTTTCATGTTGGAAGTTTCTCTTAAATCATCTTGCATCATGGTGAAAATTTGGCTCAAAGTTATGAAAAAATATGAAATTTCCAACACTTAGAAAAATTTCTAAGTTTAGAAATTTTGACTTTTCAAAATGAAATCTTGACTTTTTGATTTCTTGATGAATAAGTTTCATATTTTGACATGTTTTGATGAATTGTGATCCTTGGCACTTGAATTTGACCAAAAAGTCAAAGTTTAACTTTTCAGTATACAGTTGACTTTTGATCAGTTGACTGCAAAATTCATTTGTCAATCCAATGGACTTGCAATGTTTTGAACCATGTCATTAGGTAAAAATGATGCAATTGGAATCTTGAGATCATTCCTTAAACCAATTGACCATTTTCTAGGTCAAAAATCAGAAATTGCCCTTTCCCAGTCAAAACCCTAATTTTGACCATTTTGCCCTTTTGGGGATTTGATCAAATTTCTTGAGGAATTGTGATCCAAACTTTATCAAATGATACATATGAGTCTAAAATGTTGATTTGGATCAAAAATTATGAAGTTTGAGTGTAAATTGGCCATAGTTGACTTTTCCCTAATACAACTGATTTTTAAGTCAATTGCTCAATTGACTGAGCAAAAATGTGATCCAAGGCTTGAAACTTGACATGAGTAATCTTGAGGGTCCATAATGATCCATGAAAGTCATATGAAGCATTGAAAGTTCAAAAATCCTTGTGTAAACTCAAACCCTAATTTTGGTCATCAGTGCTTAAGGAGGTGTCTTGAGTTGATCAATCCTAGTGCAGTCTTGAGTCAAAGGAGATCTTGTGAGAAAATTCTTGATAAATGAGAGGGAAAATTTTGGGGTACAACAAGCATCTCTTTTGCTATGTGAAATTATTATTTAACTTGTTTTCCCTTACCAAAATTATTTATTAAGAAAATTGAGGTAATATGGCGTTCATTTTTGTGGACTGGTAATGATATCATCAACAGAAAGAGTCTTGTATCCTGGCAACAAGTTTGTAAACCTAAGAAAAAGGGTGGTTTAGGTGTCATTGACCTCTATACATGGAACAAGATTGCAATGCTAAAGTCGTTATAGAATCTTTGTAATAAGAAGGATAATCTTTGGGTTAGATGGAGTCACTCTTATTATTCAAAGAATCAGAATATTCTGGATGTTGTTATAAAAAATGAAGGCACTTGGATTACGAAACAAGTTTTACTCCAAAGGGACATTATTGTGAGCATTTCGACCACGTGGGACTAAATGTGTATCAAAGAAAAGTTTAATATGAAAGCAGTTTATGATGAGATGACTAACGATTTTTCAATTGTTTCTTAATTTAATTTGTACAACAATCATGTGCGTTCAAAAGCCATGACAACTATGTGGCTTGTGTGCCATAGTAAGCTTGCTACAAAAGACAGGTTGCATAAATTTGGAATGATAGATAATACCTGATGGTGCTTTTGTTTGAATGATGAATCCATTAATCATCTATTTTTCAGTGCTCTGAGTTGAGCTCTATCTGGACAACAGTGTTGAGCTGGATACAGATTCAGCATTCCCTAAGAACTGGCCTGAAGAATTGAATTGAATTATGTGTCATAGTAAAGTTAAAGGCTGAAAATCTACTCTTGTTAAGCTTGTTGCAACTGAAACGGTCTATGCAGCCTAGAGATGTCGGAATGATGTTAGTTTTGATAACTTAGTAGATAGAATTAACACGATAAATTGCATTATTGACAATATTGTTTATAGGCTTGATTTTGTAAGAAGCTTAAAGGTCTCATAACTCAGTTGATGATGTAATTGTTTTTCTAGTCGTTTTGTCTTCTTTATTGGTTGGGTTGTTTGAGATCGCCTTATATCTTTGATTTTTCTAAATATATCAAAGTTGTTTTATTAAAAAAATAAATAAACTACTTTGGTGAAACAATTATGTTTTTCTTATTTATATTTTTATTACAATTTAAAAACAAAAGTGGGCATACAACACAGTACACGTACGAATGCAAGGGTAACACATCAGTACCGTGTGAACGCACAAGTAACCATACTAGAATTTATGCGAATCCACAAATTATTATATTTTTTGTACAATTAAAGAAAATAAAAATAAATATATTTAAAATAATATATGAATCTAACACTTCAAAAAATGTGTTATTTTTAAATTAATTATATTGCTAATATTTTTATCCTAAATTATTTTAATTTTAAAATAAATTTTTTTTATAAATAAAATATATGCAAAATTGAAATATATCTTATTGATGTAAAATAATTTTATATTTATTTTAAAAATATGTCTTTCTTCTAAAAGTAAAAAAAAAAAATTCTTAATTATATTTTTATTACAGTGTGCAAATAAATGTGTGCTTACCACGTCAATACGAGTGCGGACGTAGAGATACATAACTACTTTGGTGTTAAATAGATTATGGCACCTTAAATGAAAATGGTAGTACTCAATAGTATGTTTCGTTATTTATTGTGTTATCGAATGATTTGTCAAAAAATAGTTTTATTGTTTAATTGTTGTATTCTTTTATCTATTACCTGGCATACTTTTACATTTAGGTTTAATTGAATTTGTATTTTTCGCCACCTCAAATATTTGATTGTGCGATTTTGAATGTCACTTCTTTTAAGTGTTATGAACTGGGTCCATGTCTGGTCTATTGTCGGACACAATTCAACTTGTCCATTACGTCTACAACAATCTAGATGATGGCCTAATCATGTAGGATCTAAGCTGAAGATGTAACATCTACATGTTTTTCAGAACCGTTACGTCATTTAAAACGGACGTGGTCATTTAAAACGGACGTGGTCAGTCCACTACCCACGAAACCCAAAATTATGGACACGTGCTATTGATCTTCATTATCAAGTGAGAATCATGACAACCTTCATTTATAAACCTGAATATTCGGCCAATAATTCAGCGTTGAGAACTCTAAATACTCTTCTATGTAAGAGAGCCGTGCGTCTTATTCTCAATGCTCATTTTAACTAGAGATTTCATCATGTATATGCGATACTTTTGTTTCTGTTTTGAAGACTTAATACTAAAGAAAATCATGCAGCCATGAGAATTGGGTGTCACATTAATAAATATTATCTCTTTAACATAGATTTGGAAGAGATTTGAGAGGAAGACTATAAATTAGAAAAACGCCAAAAATAAAAATCACTCAAAAAAAATGAGGAAAAAAAAAACATAATTATGATGTTTGAGGATCAATATTATAATTAAATCTTTAATTTATATTTTTTTCCATTTTAAAATGTATCATTTAAAAAATCTTGTACACAAATTAAGAAATTTAAGAAAATTGTCAACAAAAATACACTACACTTTCATTAAATTAACTTTGGAATAGTACACAGTAATAATTAAATTATGCAAAATTGGAAAAATAACAATTATTTTTATATTGAAAAGTGCTAATCACATTTAATTAAAATAAATTTTATTTTCTAAAATAAATAAATAAAATTTAATCTTAAAATCTGGCATTTAATTTTTATGAACTTGGCAAGTTTTTTTCCTACACAGTTTAGATTTGTAGCTTTATGTTTAAAACAGAGAGGGGTATATGTCAAAGCAAACATGCTATTAGAGACACAGAATATCAACATGGTTCTCTCACAAGCAGGGGAACAAGAACTCCATCAGAAATTAAACTTTATTAGGGAAGAAACACCCACCTGACTGCATGATGAAACTATCTAGTAAACGACTGCCGCGTTTCGCAATCTCGAGGACATTAAGCTCTATAGTTTACATTGCTAGAAAACAAAATATCAGGAAAGCTTCATGGGGGTGATTAATTTCTGAAAGGTGATTAATATCAAGCTTCATAAAACAAGGATAACTGAAGAAATCAAACATCAGATAAAATAACAAGGCTGGTACGAAAGCATTTGAAGCATTTACACTGGAGTCAAGCCAACCACACCTGCAAACAAGCAAGCACAACAGACACATTATCATAGAGCAGAAACATAAAATTTATGATGCAGAAACATTTGAGTAAAAACATTATAAAGATTGCAGACATATAAATCAGCTATAACTTTTGAGAATTGGACTATAGAATGAGCATACAAATTTCATCCTGGTACAGGAGTACCCACCATGCATGAAGCAAGTTTAACCGCTAATCTAAATAGACATTACGCTCATATTATTTATCAATAAATATAGATATATCAAATTGTCTTTACTCGTTCAACAATTTTTCTTGACGTACTATTTAGTTTATATGAAATAAGAGATAACTTTTAAGATGTTGATAAACTATTGTACGAACTTAGTTCAAATATTAGTGAGTGTGTGAAATAGGCGATGCAGGTATGGTGTGCAGGTTTTAATACTGTTCTTGCGAGGCAGGTTACGATTTTAGCAGTAAGGGTGCTTTGAGCGAAAACATCCCCTTTACAGTCTTTCTACTGTATTGCCAAGCCTACTTTAGAATTGGCTGTTCAAGCCCTATAGATGATAAAAAATAAGAGCTTCTATATAGATTTTACACCAAATACTATGTTTTTAGACAAATTGTAAGTATGACATGTGGCATATACATCTATAAGTTAAAATGCATTCAAAGTAATTGGGAAGGACTGATTTAAATGTAAACTCACTGCCTTATTAAAAAATTGACAGTTTAAATGTATGCAAGCTTGCGATTTCCCTTATAATTGAAATATAAGGATACCATTCAGCACAAAATTTGTCAAATTAATTTTAAGCCAATAAAATGAGAAACTGCATATACCTTCTTGTTTTAATTGGAGAATGAATTTCACAGTTATATTACATCATTATCACAGGTCTAAAAGCATATATGTAAAAAGATATTCTGAACCTACAGTCATTGTTTCTCAAGTATCATTTACGTCAACCTAACATCTAGCAACATATACATGCCATAATTTCAATAAAACCATTTCTTCAATTTAGCAGTAGATAGTTTTCATCTGACATAAATCGAGACCCAGCTTATACACAGACTTAAATGCACAACTCTTTGAGAATAATGTATGGAGCTTGATTCCAAATCATATCAAAGTTGTGAGTTACTTAATGTAAACCAATGGAAGGGAAATGAAAATGAAAATAAACCACAAAACTATAGAAAGTGTTCATCTTTAAAAATTGCAGAGAAGTGCAAATCAAATAACATATAATCATAAGCATGGAAGACTTGATGAATATGAAAACAATGGAACTGTTTTAATGCATAAGTTTCTACATACCACATGCTAATCTTCCACCAGCATTTCCAGTGCTCAAACTAAGTTCATGTCCACCTGCAAAAGTATGAGCAGATGCAGATGAGACCAAAGTAAAAATACTTCAGTTATTATTAACACACACCATACTTGATATACAAGACTACAAAGAACATAAACAACCAACTTCATATTCATATCATTCTTCCCCTGTGACAAGTAGACTTTATCTATTGTTTATTTGGGTAATACAGGTGTTGAAGCTTGTGACAGGGCCAAATGAGCAGGGAGTCACACTTGAGGAGGTTGTGGGCAGGCCCAAAATAAGGAGAGTATACCAAAGGAAGCATGTAAAGATCTAGCGAGAGTATCTAGAAGGATAAACTGGCAGCAGGCCTGACATCAGAGTTAGCTATATAAGGGAATAAGGTGGAGTACGAGAATCATCTTGGAATTCTGTTATTGGAAAGAGAGAATGCTCTCTTGTGGGAGCCACTTGACTAGGCTAGTAGTATCTCTCTACTATATTTGCTTTCCATTCTGTTATGTTTTAGTTCCGACACTGGTCTATCAATAAAATTTCATCAGTTTACTCCATCATTTTCTGTAAACCCATTAGACAGTATTTTCATCTATAGCATAAATCATCATAAGGAGAATATAAATAAGTATTTAAAATGGAAGAACTAACCCTTTCCAAGATCATCTTCAAGCTCATGAACCACTAAGGCTCTCCCAACAACTGAATTGGGGCCAGTGAGTGGTATCTGCGAAATTTTGACAAAGAACAAAGTTAGCTTCTTTCAACAAGGAGCCATATAGTTCATTAAAAAAAACTCAGTGCTCCGACACGCAGGCACAAAGAACCATGGTTTGAAATAATCATCAAGAGAACTGTCAACCATTATATTATTAAAATACAAATAACAAAGCACACCTGATTGTCCACGATTGTTGCTTCTGCAACTCCTGTATTTCCCAAAATTGAAAAACAATACATAAGAAGATTAGAAGATCCAGAAAGCTTTTCAAAACAGATGAAAGGAGAGAAGCATTACCTTCTGCATTAGCAACTATGTTTCCCAGGTCACCCGCATGACGGGTTTCATCTTCAGGAGCACCATGTGTCAACTTGTTGGGATTAAAATGTGGTCCTGAATAAGAGATTCAAGAAGCAAAAAGTCCTAACTTTAGTCAAATTAAACCATAGCAACAAAAAAAAAGAAGATACAAAAAGATGGAAACTAAGGTCTCCATTACCTGTTGAGATACACCCATTTGTGGTATCACCATACTCATGCTGTAAGATAAAGCAACACATATTATAGAGGCAGATAAATAAATAAGTTGATTAATTAGTTTTTTGAAGTACGGGACATAAAGTAACACTCACTAGATGAAAACCATGAAGCCCTGGAGTAAGGCCAGTGATGCGAACATTAACTGTTGTTGGACCTACTCATCAAACAAAAACAGTTATAGCTTCTAGTTATTCAATTCAGCACATAGAGAAGTAACCATTACATTACCAAATATTCTTAGTGTGTGTTTGGATTGGATTGGCGGTTAACAGAATTTATTTTGACAGAATTAAGTTTAGCACAATTGATTTATATTTGGATACATTTACGTAAAGTGAGTTGAACAACAAATTTGAGTGTAAAAATCACTTTAAAATCAGAAGCTACAAATTCTAACTTTAAATATAATCAATTCTATCAATTTTACTTTAAAAGAACCAAACACCTCAAAATCACTCGAGAATCAATTCATTCCCAAAGCCAAAAACATGCTATTAATATAAGTACAACCTATGAAGCACGAACACCGAAAACACTCACGACACCACACTGACACGTTGAAAAAGTGAGGTGTTGGTGCCACGTAGACTCTGCAACTAACTAACAATGAAGCATGCCATTCACTTCAATTTTCAGTAACAATAAAAACCCAAATTATCATTGATAATTGGCAAGTGAAATGGAGATTTGAAATAGATTAAGAGGAGTCACCTCCATCGTCTTGAGTGAGAGTGACAACACCTTCAACAGCGGAGGTTCCCTTAAGGACAGCGACGGCTTTCTTGGCGGCAGCAACGACGGTGAGAGGTTTGAAATTGGAAGTTGTAAGGGTTGAGAATTGAGGAGCGAGCTTGACGGAGACGCCGGAGAAAGATGTTCGGAGAAGAGAGTGAGAAGAGAGCGGTGAAGGTGAGACGAGAGTTTGTGAAGCCATTGTTAGTTGCATAGTGTGATAGAGATTGAGTTTGAGGTGTTTGTGATAATGCAACAGAATGTGTGAAATAAAATTGTGTTGGCTTGTGTTGCTCACATCACACACTTTCTAGTTTCTATCTCTACACACTTCTAGTTTTTTTTTTTTTTTTTTTTAATTTGAATTTTTATTAATTAAAATTGATATTACATTATTTTTTGGATTTGGTATATGGTGGAAAATCGGAAATACAAAATAAATAGTAAAAATGAAGGAAAAAGTAAAACAAAAGAGTTGATACTTGATACATTTGAAAAAGGAAGATTAAGAAGTTACAATAAACATGTACTACATTTTCTATTGATAAGCTCTCAAAACGTTTTAGTTGATAAGTTACATTGATAAGATGAATTGAGAAGAAAGATAATTAGGGTTTGAACAAAAGGAAGAAGAAGAGTTTGTGAATTCTGCAGAATAAACTCTATGTTCTCTATTATTCAAACTGCAATATTATTCACATATACAAAATAGAGGTCATTCTCTCTATTTATAACTTTGTTTGCTTGCATTCTAAGTCAAAATCCAAAATATAAAAAAGCTCAAAATAACTATTTAGACCTAAGTCGAAATCTTGTGTGAAGCAACTTACTTCGACACTTCGATATCTAATACAACTCGACACACATTAGACTAGTTTCGACACAACCTTGTTTTTGTCGAGCAACATGTTACTTCGACACAAAGAATTACAATCTCAACACACCACCTAATTCATTGTGTCTAAGCTATATATTCATCATAGACTTTAATTTCTCGAACACTTCGACCTACACTTCTTTTGTCATGATGTCTGCAATCTGATTCTTAGTTCTGCAGTGTTCCAAGTTCATCTTCCCTTTTGCTACATGCTCTCGGAGATAATGGAACTTCATTCCGATGTGCTTGCTTCGACCATGTGCTATCAGATTCTTTGTCAGATTATTAGTTGTCATGATGTTGATCTTTATGGCAATTGCTCAATGATCCTTTGCTGTATTCTCTTCGACCATATTCACCATCCATGTTGCTTGACATGCACCAAGAGAAACCACTATGTATTATGCTTCACTCGATGATAGTGCTACTACTGGTTCTTTTCTCAAACTCCAAGCAACTGATACACCACCTAGCATAAACACATAGCCAGTTGTGGATTTTCGATCCTCAACATCACCACACCAACTTGAGTTGGTGTAATCCACCAGCTTACATTCTTTTTCTTCATCAACTGCAAGAAATATAATACCATAGTCGAGAGTTCCTTTCAGATACCTTAGTATCTAATTTGTTGCTTCTAGATGTGATATCTTTGACTTCTGCATAAATCTACTCACCATACCCATGATGTATGCTAGATCATGCCTCATATGACAAAGGTATCATAATGACCCAATAAGTCTTCTATACTGGATTGGGTCGACATCATCTTCATCTGAGTCTTTTGACAATTGCAGTCTTGGTTCAGCAGGTGTCGAAGTCGAGTCGCAGTCTTCTATCTCAAATCTCTTGAGAATTCTCCTGCATATCTTCTTTGATGCATCATCAAACATCTACCACTCTTATAAAATTTGAAGCCAAGGAAGTATGAAATGTCTCCCGTATCAAATCTTTTGGATTCCTTGTTAAGATCACCTTTGAATTCTTCGATCTCTTTCTTACAACTACCTGTTGTCAACAAGTCATCGACATAGAGACATAGTATAAGCAAGTCACTCTTGCTTCTTATTACTTATACTCCATGTTCAGTTATGCACTTCACAAATTCCTTCACCCTTAGGAAACTATCTATATTCTTATTCCAAGCTCTTGGAGCATGTTTATGTCCATATAAGGCCTTATGCAGCCTGTATACCTTTCTTGCTTCGCCTTGTTTTACCAACCCAACTAGTTGTGCAACATAAACTTTTTCATCTAAGGGGTCATTCAGGAATGCACATTTCACATCCATCTGACATATGTACCAATTGTTCATATTTACTATACCAACAACCAACCGGATTGTTTCAATCCTAGCCATAGGTGCAAAGACTTCATCGAAGTTGAATCTTTCTTTCTGAAGTAATCCTTTCGCCGTAAGTCTAGCCTTGTGTCGAGTTACTTCCCGTCTGGGATTCAACTTCACCTTGTATACCCACTTCACATCGTTTTCCTTCTTTCCTTGTGAAAATTCGACAAGTGACCAGGTGTTATTGTCTTCTATCGACTTCAATTCCTCATTCATTTATTTCATCCACGTCGAATCTTTCAATACTTCAGTTGCATTGACAGGTTCGAAATTTGCATAGAAAACATAATGTACCAAATCACATTCATTATCGACCACATCATCTGATGTAATCACACATTTCTGCAACCTTACAGGTACGTGTCTCGTTCTTTGATGTCTGCTTGGGCCATCATCACTTTGTTAGACGATGATGCCTAGTCTAGAGGGGGTGAATAGATCACCAAGCCAAAATTTAAGATAAAAATCTGGTTTAGAAATTTTGATTAGAAAAGAGTGCAAGCGGAAGGTTTTTAAAATGTGTCATCTATACGAATCGTTGTTATTAGAACTCGGATATCCAAATATAAAATTGAGTATGGAATGAATACAATAATCTGAATTAATTGAACTTCAATCAAGTAACACATTATCAATTGTTTATAGCAAGTTACTAGAAATACTATTTCCAATGGCAATTATGAAAAGAACTAACAAGACATTTTGTCGAACACTTGGTGTGCAATTGAATTTTCTGAATTTTCCTTTGAGTTGTGTTATACAAAAGCACTTATAATAAAAAGTGATTATAAACAATATCAACACTTAATTGAAAACAAAAACAGTTCAGAAAAATTCCTACAAGTCAATTGATTTCATAATGTTATTAGACAAATTGATTGATGAAAATAAAGCAAGTAAAACAATACAAAAAAGAGACACGAGGAAATTTCTTCACACTTCCCCACTTTCGTCCTCGCGTGTGGGTACGTCTGCGCCTAATTCTGATAGAATTAGGATAACTCTTACTATACAAAAAGTTTGATACAAGAGAGTTGTTCCAAGAGCAACTCCACAAACCCTAACGTTTATTTTTGATTTAACCCTTTCTCTTCCTTTTATCTTGAGAAAGACCAAGACATAATAGTTGTCGATTTGTTATCTGAATCTTGCTACTCCTTTGCATACTTTATCTCCAAAGCTTTCATGCACCACCAATTTCAACTATTGCAACATAGGACTTCAATTTGATTTGTTGTTCTCTCGCTACTTCCTTTGCGTTCTTTATCTCCAAAGGATACTTTGTGCTCTTTATCTCCAAAGGGTTTCACTTTAACGCAATCCTCTTTTGAATGTCTTACACGAAAACACCCAAATTAATTAATAATCTTGGAGGACAAACCCACGGTTTTTCCGGATGAAGACCCCTATAAATATCAACCCAATATTATCGGATACAGAAGAACTTAATTGGATGTTATCAAACCTCACCTAGATGGCACCCCAACAAAAGATTGTTACAATGGTTTGTTAGTGTGTATGCATAGGTTGAAGGTTGAAGATGAAGAGAAAATGCACAATATTTTTATGGTATCATCAAGTTGGAATGATGCATGAATGATGTATTTATAGTTGTGAAAGTTTAGGTTTAAAAAATGATTATTTTAGGAATTAGAATGAATAAAAATTTGACATAATGAAACAGTATGTGTTGACTGTAGAATGTATGTGTCGACACATAAGTTAAATTTCAACTATATGTGTCGACCTAAAGGAATGCATGTGTCGACCTAAACAAGTCAGTGGCTACATGTTTTAAAATAACAGTATATGTGTCAACCTGAAATTCGTATGTGTCGACACATAAAATTAGAATTTCAGCAATTTCAAAAAATCATTAGTATGTGTCGACCTATGAATACTCATGTGTCGACCGAACCAAGTCAGAGGCTAAAAGCTTTATTACTGAGTTACATGTGCCGACCTAAAATGCGTATGTGTCGGCAAATGCAGTTCAATTTTGTGTAGAAAATGCTTTTCAATGCATGAGACCATTTCCAATCAGGTTCAAGATGATTCCTAAATATCCTAAGACTTCTAAATATACAAGATGCCATGCTAGACTTAAGAATAACATCCAATTAACAGAAATGCAAGATTCTCGCAATTTTGACATTACTCAAAACAAATATAGAAGTAAGTTGTGCTCACATACTCCCCCCTTTTTATGATGGCAAAAATGAGAAGGTGCACTTCGTGTGTTTTATTGACGCCCCCCTGAGTGTGTGATTTCCATCTTTGTCTTCGCATACACCTTCTCCCCCCACTACGCCAAAAACTGCTTTTTGCAGCGCCTCTACTAAAGCGCTTATTGAAAAAGCGCTGCCATAGCCTTCACAAAAAACAAAATTAAAAAAAAGGGAAACCTACGAAGGCGCTTTTTTAAAAGCGCTGGCATAGGTGGGGGATACGAAAGCGCTTTTTACATTAAAAGCGCTGTGGTAGGTCAAATAAAAATATTAATAAAAACGAAATAATAGGGTTATGAAGGCGCTTTTTAAAAAGCGCTGTGGAAGATTGGCCTTTGAAAGCGCTTTCAAAAGCGCTGGCATAGGGTCTGATGCTACTAAAGCGCTTTTTAGGCTAAAAGCGCTGTGGTAGCTCAAATATCAAAATTAAATAAAATGAAATATTGAACAGCACAGTTCAGAATACCCACGAAACCCAAAACGAAATATCAGAACGAAGCCCTGTTCATCGTCTTCTCCATCTCACCCTCGCCGACACGAAGCTTTTCAGCACCGTTCATCATCTCACCCTCGCCGGCACGAACCTTATCAGCACCGTTCATCAACTCACCCTCGCCGGCACGAAGCTATTCTCGTTTTTGTTCTGATTCCTCATCCTCGCCGGCACGAAGCTTTTTTCGTCTAGAGTCGTATCAAAAGGTATGTTTCAAAATCCTTGCCATTCATACATTGCTTCTGTTCGATTTGTCTGTGTTGCCGGG